AAATCAAACTAATATAGCTCTTATTGGTGAAGGCTTGCCCTGGGGAAGATGCATACCTGGCAGGAGATCTATAGGACAGAGGATGTGCCTCTACTGTGCACATGGTTTCACTTGTCTATTTTATATTTGTAGAGGATTGTCAAGATTCTTTTGAGATGCTTTCCCACTATCACAATGGTTCTGAGTGCTCAACAAGGCCATTACATAACATATGATGAACTTGACAAAGATTCAGTAAAGTGGCTCAACCAAGAGCTCAAACCAATGCTTTTCAACTGTGATCACTGCTTCTTCTACCCCACTGGGTCACAGTCTACACCGGGGACAATGGGGAGGCTCCGAGGTATCAGAAAACGTACATCCATCTTCAAAACCAGAATTACTAGGGGCTTCTTCATTTTGATTTGATAAATAAAACATCTCATGTCCTGAACCCTTTGCAAAATTGAGGAATGAGGTGTGTTTCTTCTCAAACTTGAATGTGCATGTGAATCACCTGGGAGATCCTATTAAAATGCAGACTCTTACTCAGGAGGCCTGGGCTGGGACCTGAGATCCTGCATTGCTGACAGGCTCCCAGGTTATGCCAGTGCTGCTGGTTCATGGATCACATTTCCAACAGCATGAGATGGAGACTCTGACTAATTTCTCTGTATGTCCAGCATTAAGCTAATTGGCCATGCTCGCCCTTTACAATTCAATAGTAGGAATTGTGGCTCTGACTTTGCTGTTGTGGGCGAAGTTGCTGACACATGAACTGGCAATGCTTAAAGAAAGTTTTATTGTGGATCAATAACCATAAAAATATTCACACCTTTGGGTCGAATAGTTCTGCTTATGGATGTGAATTCTAAATAAATAACCCGGAAGATGAAAAGAAAACATCTGTATGAACAGTGGTGCTCTACAACAGTACTATGTATACTAAAAAAGAAATATTTAAAGTCTGTCTAATATAAAGGAAATGATTAAATAAATTGTAATAAAGTCACTCAGTGTAACCAAGACAATATTGTAGAAATATGTTCATCTTCTCCCTTTCCTCAAATGCAACATGTCACTAAAGGAACAAAAATGATATTAACCCACAAGGTTAACAAACTATTTGTTAATAATTTCAACATATTTGTCCAAGACATGAAGTCTATAGAATTGGGGAACGTAAGCACAGGCCCCCACGTCTCTATTTGTAATGTTTTATTTTTTTAATTCATCAGTGAGTACAAGGGTGATTTCTTACAATTTTTATACCTTTCTGTGTGCCTGAAATATTTCAAAATTTAATTAAAAAAAAAAAGTGCAGGTTCGGGTGCGGTGGCTCATGCCTGTAATCCCAGCACTGGGAGGCTGAGGCAGGCAGATCACCTGAGGTTGGGAGTTCAAGCCCAGCCTGATCAACATGGAGAAATCCCATCTCTACTAAAAATACAAAATTAGCTTGGTGTGGTGGCGCATGCCTGTAATCCCAGCTACTCAGGAGGCTGAGGTGGGAGAATCACTTGAATCCAGAAGGCGGAGGTTGCGGTGAGCAGAGATCATGCCATTACACTCCAGCCTGGAGGACAAGAGCGAAACTCCACCTTAAAAAAAAAAGAGAGAGAAAAACAAAGTGCATAGGGGCAGAGTGAAGAACATTCTAACCTACATGCTGGGGGCAGAAATAATGTGACAAAGTGAGCTGGTTTTCCCAATAAAGCCTGGCCTTGGTCTTGAAGGCACCAGGGACTATGGAAGGAGGAATGAGGTATGGGGCTAACAGCAGGGGAACACTCAAGTCTGTCTCAGGAGCCTTTGTACCCCTAGATCTCCTGCCCCACTAGGAAACAATCTTTCCCACCTACCACCACCACAGGAGATGGGAAGTTTATTCTTGAAAGAAATTGAGCCACATACGCTCAGAACACAGGCACATCAGATATCATAAGAGGCCAGCCGAAAACAAGAGAATTAATGAAAGCTCTACACACTGAACTGTGAGGCCTGTAGGGATGGAAAATGGGATACCTTTCCTCATCCACCATGAGGATGATGGCCAACACTGCTATCACAAGAGGTTAACAAGGGAAAAGCATAAATGCATCTATTTCATCAAAGTTTTACATGACACAGAAGTGTTCAGAGATGAAGACTCAAAGACCCAGAGAAAACTGTCCGTTTTTATGCGTAGGTTCCATGAAGAATGGGCAGCCTCACAGAAATGTGATTGGACAAAAGGGTGTGATCTACTGATAACAGCGTGGGGGGAGAAAACCCAGCAAGGCCTGTCTGTTCAGATTCTTGTTAGTCTCTCTGAGTAGCATTCCTTCCCCCAGAGTATGGAAGAGGACCTCTCTGGAATGAGGCTTTTCAAGGGAGAAGGGAGAGAATGACCTTTCTGGTTTTGTGGCTTGCTTTGTGGGAAAGGCATTCTAGTTTCTTTGACCCACCTTGGGAAAAAAGGATTCTTGTCTCTATGACTTGCATCAGGGGAGAAAAAGGGATGGGAGACAGGGGCATGAGAGAAAGTGAAAGCCTTGGCTTCTGAGGCCCTTTCAGTCTCCTTTAGTTCAAAGTACTCAGCATACTAAAGTGCCATACTTTGGAGTATCATGTTCGGAGCCCCAGCAGACCCTTGGCCCCTCCACGACCCTGCTTTCAGGCCTCCAGGAGCCAAACATATATACCCGCAGGCTGTCAAATTACAACCTGTGGGCCAAACCATACTCCAGTCTGTCTTTGCAAATAAAATTTTATTAGAATACAGTCACACGCATTCACCTGCTAGTTGTCTATGGCTGCTTTTATGCCACAACAGGAGAGCTGCGTAGTAGCAACAGACACCATCTGGCCCACAAAGCCTAAAATATTTACTCTCTGGGCCCTGTAGAAAAAGCTTGCCAATGCCTGCTCTAGAGAAAAATAGAACCGCCGGGGAAGACTCCAGATGCCTCACGTAGAGCTCCCATGAAAATACTGGTAAACTTCCCTGTGACTATGAAGCCCGTCAGTGACCAGCCCCTCCGCATGCACACTGAGCCTCCAAGCAGGTTTCAGCACCTCACTCTTAAGCACAAATGGATGTCCAAAGATCTTCCAGACACTCAAGCCTCAGCGTGAAAGAGTATAATCAAAATAGACAGAAAAAAGGAACTTGGAAGAACCAAAATCATTCAACAAGTAAAAGAAACTTATAATAAAAGTATAGAATTAATTTTCTCTAAGATATGAGAAGATACTTCATCCATAAAACAAGAACTTGACACTCTGTTAACCAAAAGGAAATTCTCTTAAGAAAGAATGACTCAAAATTAAAAAATAAATAAAGAGAAAGTTGAGAGTTTAACAAAAGACAAGGAGATGAAAAATGGTAGGGAGAATAGATTAACAATTCAGGATGTCCAATATTGACCTGGAAAAAATATAGAACAAGCAAACAAAGGAAATGAAGGGTATAAAGTTAGTGATGACATACTATAAAATTCCTGAGAAATATTTTCTTATCTGTTGCACACTGTGCGCAGCATAATGAATAAACGAGCAAGGGCCAACATGAAATTTCAGAACACTCTAGCAATAAAGAGATGATTCTAAGTTGACAGAGAGAAAAGAAACTGAACAAAAGAATAAGAACCAAAATGGATCCAGGCTTCTTAATAGTAACCCCGCTGCCCAGAAAAAAAAAAAAAAATTGGAGTGATGCCTTCAAAATTCTAAAGGAATGTTTTTCATCTACTACTGTTCTATGTCTAGCACTATTAGTCAGGTATGGAGATAAAAGCATTTTTAGACTTGCAAGGATTTTCATGCATCCTTTATTAGGAAACTACTAAAGGATGTGCCTCAACACAACCAGGGAGTAAAAACAAGAAATAGGCATGGAATCCAGTAAACATGGGTTTCAATACAGAAATGATGGAAGTCCCGAGATGATAATTTTGCATCAAGTCCATAGAGCAAATGATCCAGTTTCGAGCAAGAAGACTAAAGACGTCGGGAAAGACAGTCTCTGGGAAACAAGGGGACAGAACTGCTCGATTATTTGATGTGTTTAAGATGTGAAAAAAAAATGATTGCTAGATGTTTTGCAGGTTTGTTAAAACACTTGGAAAAGTAGTATGATATTCAGCTGAACAGCAAACAATTTTTATCTAGTTTAATAATGTAGGCATTGACCATTGATTTAACAAAAATTGTTATACAAGTCTACTTGGAGGACTATGTAGGAAAAAGGTGGGAGTTGAGGACTGGTGAACAGAAAGTTAAATTCTTGCCTAAAATCAAAAAAATCTAGAATAGATATAAAAGCATATAATTTAGAAATACATAGGTAACTTTTAGAAAAAAACAAGGTAGAAAGTAGATGCCTCTCTAAGAAGGGATAGGAGGAAAAACAATTCCTTTGCTTTTTTAGTATATGTAATCATTTGGTACTATTTTATTATTCTAACTATTCACCTACATTTTGATAAAAATTAGTCTAAAATAGATTATGTCAATCTATTAAGTCAACATCTATTAACTAGAAAAAATTTTTTTTTTATGCTTAACTCCTTGTGGTCTGCTGGTATTTAAAAATCTTTGTAATAAGAAAGTCCTTCAATTGGGAATGCTGAGCTGGCAATCTGGTGGAGCTGTAGTGTCTTTTGTGAGATCCAGATGCCTTGAGAACCAGTCTTTGTGGGAGGGTAATACACAAACAGGTTTAACCAGTGCATTAACATCAGTAAGGCTGGCATAACCAGGGAGAGATGCACCAAAGTTCAGGTAAAGTGTCAAGTAGGGAAAAGTGATATAAAATGCATGTGTATATTATGGCTGCAACAATGCAAAAATGGTATGTTCATAATGAGAAGGAAATAAGGACAAATGAAAACAGTTTGATGTGTCAGAAGTGGGAACGGAAATAAATTTTTTCCTTTAATTTAGAATTATGTGAAGACTGCTATAATGTTTGTGTAAAATAGAATAGTTTTTTTTTTAAGGAAATCAGTGGCATTCTTTGCTCTGCCTTCTTCCTGCAGCTTGATTGCCTACACAGAACAATACATGGAATATGACCCTTTGATAACACCAGCCGAGCCATCCAACCCTTGGATCAGCGACGATGTTGCTTTGTGGGACATAGAGATGAGGTAAAAAATGTTTTAAGGTTTGGGAGTGGAATGGATGTAGACAAAAATCCATGAGATCATGAGATTACCTTATATTCTATCTTAATTTGAGTTTTTTTATTGGTGGAACAGAAATGCCTCAAGTAGGCTCCTGGCTGAGTTCTACTTACAGTTTCTACCTCCTTATAGCTTTGATTTGTGCAAAGCCACAAATCCTTTGTGGCTTCCCCCTGACCCTCTGGATATCATGATAACTGGGACAGTCCCTCATCATTCTCTAGTTCTGATTGCTGGAAGGGAAGAATTTGCTGTTCCCATTTTTTTCCTATGAGACAGCAATGACAATGGTAATAGCTGGCACATATTCCGCCTTGGCCACATCCTGCAGTAAGTGTCTGTCACTGAATTATCTTGACAGGTAAACATTACTATTCTCACCATTGAGCAGGTATGGAAACTGAGGCACAGAGGAGTTAAGGAACTTGCCCAGGTCAAGTTCTGCTAGTACGGCAGAGTTAGGGCTAGAACTCAGGCAGAGGGCTCCAGAGCCATGATTTCATCACTCTGCTCTTTTGGAGTAACTTCCAGCAGTGATTCCAGCCAGTTTCTCCTTCCATATGAGGGAAGCGAGTGTGTTTACTTAAGAGGGGAGGAACCAAAGCCCAGAGGGACTTGAACTACTTTCAGAATTACAGAAGGAAACACACAGACAAAGCTAGTGTGATGTGCCTTCGCACCCCCTGCATTTATTTCCGTTTTCATGTCTCTGTCACTCTCACATTGTCTTTTGCTCCTTTTCTGGCTTCTTTTCCTGAAAGGGAAAACATCTTATAAAAAGTAATGAAAGTCACAGATGCTCATTCTAAAAAGTTCAAATTATCTGGATGTGCATAAAGAAGAAAATGCTCTCTTCCTCCAACCCAATTTCATCTTCCAAAAAGAACCTTTGTTTCTAGTCTGATGCTGTGGTTCCCAAAGTGGACCAGGGCGCCCTGGGCACTCTGGAGAACTCAGAGTTACCATGGTATATCCCAAATTTTTTAGGGAACAACAGTGATAGTTGACTCATGCCAGATACTGCATAAACTGCTAGCTTAAGATGGTTCTGTTTCAACATTAGAGCACATTACATCCCTTGTGATGAAACATGCCTTTGCAAATCTGGCTTTTCGGTGCTGTCGCTCTGATAAAAAGCAAGTACTGTGCAAAAATTAACATGGAATAGGACATAGGGATGGTAAGGTCCAATCTAATTCCAAAATTTAAGAAAACGTGTAGTGCCCAATAGGTGCATATTGTAGTTATTTAAGAATGAAAAAAAAATCAATTCATGTGTCTTTCAAACAGCTGCTAAGTTGTCAGGATACAAATACATATTAAGTTGATTGGTCCTGGCCATAATAAATGACACTGTTAAGTATTTCTTTTGGCCCAGGGGCACTGTGAAAAACTTACTGAGACACTAAGGGTCCCATGAGCCCAGCGAGTTTGGGAACATCTGATTTAGTGTCTGTTACTTTGGATTTTTATGCATGTATAATATTCTATCCTTTTGTGTATTGGCTATTGGGTTCTGCATGTGTATACATAGGTATATATGAATATAATATATTCCAATAATTTTTCAATTAACAATATGTCATGGCAGTCTTTCTGTGTAAACACATAGATCCACCTTACTCTTTTTAATAGCTACATAGTATCCCCTGGCATGGGTGAAGTTAAATTTATTTTACCAATCCCTGGGTCATAAATATTTAGGTTATATCCTCCATTTCTGCCACTAGAAACAATGATTCCAGCAACATCTTTGTACACAAGTTCAGTTATTTCCTTAGTATAAATTTTCCAGGAGTAGAATCTCTAGAAATGATATGCATATTTTAATTTTAGTTCATATGTCCAGATTCCTGTTGAGCAAAACCGTAACACATCTTTTTCATTCCCATAGCTTAAAAGTGCCCATTTCCCACATTCTTATCATTCCAAGCATCATCAGTCTTTTTACCTCTGCAAATCCAAAAGACTAAAATAACTCTCGTTTTACTCCTTTGTTTCTTTGTTAATATACTTGAGAACCTTTTCACATGGCTATTAGACAGATCCTAGCAATATGTTTTGCTTTAGATACTGGGACATACAACAGTCACATTTACTTGAATTATATATTTTATCTTTTTCCTGACATATTTCTGAACCTCATTCTTTGTTCTTGTTTTTCTCTTCCCTTTTACTTTATTAATCAAATTTTATGTTAACCTTGTAAAAACTCTAGTTTCTATTCTAGTTGCATTTCCTTTTAAATGTTTTAATTAAAAACATGATCAACTTAAACAAATAAGACTGAAGTATATAAAATAAAAAGTAGAAGTTACTTTTGCCTCCTTTAAATCCCATTCTTCCCAGAGGTGTGTTAACTTGATATATTTTAAACGAACATTTTTGAACTTATATTTCTATGAACATTTAAAAAATAACTAGCATATAGTATATATATTCTTTCTAATATTTCTGATGAGACCTAAGTAGTTTCTTCTGTTCTAAGTCAAGAACTGAACTCTTTATTTAATTCAGGATTTTTTTTCTCTCTCTTGTTTTCAAACTTTGCTGTTCTTTTTTCCATTCTACCCTCACTTTTCAGGAAATCCTTTTTTAAGAATTCTGGGCCTCTGGGATGGAGTTGTTATATCTCTTACATTTTCCCTATCATAATTTCCATCTTTTAGTCTTATTATTCTATATTCAAAGGATACAATATCCTGAATTGCTCTTCAGAATCACTGCTTTGATTTTCAGCAGCGTCCGTTCGTGATTTTATACTTCAATGAGTTGTTCTTTTCCCACTGAGTGTTGGGCGGGTGGTTGACAGCAGCACTTTTCATTTCCAGCACTTCTTAATACTTCTTGGACTGTTCTTTTCTTAGTAGCCTGCTCTGTTCTGTTGGTGTTTATCCTCTTAATTCCCCTGGAGATGTGATACAGATTTTTTTCATATTTTATATTTTTCCCATATCTCCTCTTTATTTCTGCCACTTAGTTTCATTCGGGGCTATTTATTAGAGAATCATCATCTTTGGTCATTGTTTCATTCCTCTGGTCACTGCTCAAAGCAGATCATTCTTTTCATATGCCCAGCTATTTGGAAGACTGCTCATTTTTATAAAGGAAGGTCTTGGCTTTCAATCCTGCCATACATTAGAACCACCTGGAAATTTCTAAAACATAGTAATGCCTGGTCCTCACACACAGCCACTTAATTCAGAATTTCTGGCAGTTGGACAATTGGACACTGGGTTTTTTTTGTTGTTGTTGTTGTTTTGGATCTCCCCACACTCAGGGAGGTACAAAAAGTCTACAGTGCAGCCGTGGCCTGGGACTCTATCAGTAGCTGGTGAGGGTGCTCTCAGTGATGGTGTGGGTCAATGGTTCTAAGCCATGCCGTGCATCAGAATCACCTGGGGTGCTCATTAAAAATATACACATACTGGGGTGGCTCTGGCCATCTGCATCTTGAGCAAGCACCCCAGGCAATTCTGAGCCCACCATGGTTTAAGAACTCCTTGTGTGGTTCACAGAGTTCCCTGGCAGGCTTTCCCTGAGCAGTTTACACAGGTGTAGGGCTGCACCTGAATGTATGAATGGATGGGCATAGGTCCGTTGCCACAGTTCCCCTCTGGGTCCTGGGTATGTGGTCCAAGAACAGACTAAAAAATTGGGTCCTCTCTTACAGTGAGACAGGTGGCAATGGGAGTCTTGGGGAGGTAGATCCCCACCCTCCCTAGTGTGACGTCCCTGCAGCCAAGTGCTCTGCTCTGTAGCTCAAGCCCTAATGGAGTTTCTGATGTCTTTGTTCCTTCACCATGATACTCCCCAACAAGTCCACTCTTCTCCTTCCACTGATGGGTCTTAGGAGAACCCACTTGGATCTGCAGAAGCCAGTGAAAGGTGGGGAGACAGCTAGCAAGTCTTAAAGTCTCCCTGGTTCCCAAGATGTTTTTCCTCTGCATGCTGTGCTGCCCTTTGGTTGGCAGAAGCACAATCCTCTGGCCTCGGTGTCCATCTCAGAAGCTGGCCAGGAAACAGCCCCCTTAACTTAGCAAATGCTTTCTGCCATGTGGAGCCTATCCTATGTTCCTGAGTTGCTTCTATATGCCCCTTGTCTGATGCCCACCCACTGCCTCCACTTCCAGGCCTGCTGCCCAGGCTTCTGCTGGGGATACTCAGCTATTTCCTTCTCTGATGCCTTCACTGGAATTGTAGACTGCTCTCAATCAGCTATGTCACAAGCTCAGCCCATCTGCTTTGTGCCTTTCTGAAATTTCTCAGAGCTCTCATCTGCTGATAGGAAATTTCTTTGCCTCTACATACTATGTTTAGTTTTATTTGCTTTGGAGTTTTTTTTTTTTTTTTTTTTTTTTTTTTTTTTCTTCACTTAACTGAGCTCTGAGCACTTGCCTATTCCCTCCTCTTTGGCCACTTGTCCCCCAGATCCTTACATGGCTGTCTTCATTTCTCATTCAGGTCTCACTCAGGATTGGTGTCCCTTCCTCAGAAGGGCTTTCTGCGACCACCAATCTGCAGTGACCACCCCGCCCTCCAGCTGTCCTAGGACACGTCCTCCCACTGGCTCCCTTTCTAAATAGGACTTAGGATTATTTCAGCGCCTAGGCCTATCTGGCACACAGTGGGCACCGTGTGGGCTGGAGGGAGGATGGATGAATAAGTCATTCTTTATTTGATCATTTCATTGGTATCTGGGAAAGGTGGAGAGGCAAGCGCATGAACCTAATTCACCATAATAAAACGAACTTCCTCTTTTGTTCTTGAAAGTCAGCAAAAAAGTATGTAATCATTTAGGAAAATGGGGTCACCTGGCCTGTTGGTTTATTCCAACCTATTCACACTTTTTCCCCAAGAAGGTGCTGCCTGCCCCTTACTACTCATGCCCTGGTTCTACTCCTATTGTTCCAGCTTTGACTCTGAACTTCTTGCCTAACCTAAGACAGCTACAGTGTTCTGTC